TAAGAGAGGGGATATATATAACTTCAATGTGCAAATAATTACTCTTTTAAATAATTTAAATTTTCATACTTTATCTTCACCACATCGACCACTTTATATAATAAGTAAAATATGGGTCAAGTATCAAATATTTTTAGGAACATTTTGATGTCTGCTTATTCAGAACATTAACCATACAATAGCTAAAATATAGCTTTTTTTTAATCAAACATGGCATTGATAATAAGACGTACTTTCAAAAGATGAAAATACTATACATTGATAGATTAATCCTGAAATAAGAATCTTAAGACTTAGGGTCTACTTCTTTAGAGATTTTTTCCTTGCCCTATTAGGAGAGAGTCCTTTTCATTTTATGATAAAATTTCCTTATAAAGCAAACCCATGTAGTTAATTATCTCCTAGAATATGATAACATAATCATAGTATTTATTAAATTAGTGGATTGTGTCTTTATGAATTTAAAATTTTATATTTTTATGATTCCTATAAGGAAATCAATTGAGATAATTCAAGCCAGAATAATTCCTTTCAAAATCTAAAGGATAAAAAGTAAGAAGTGCTTAGATACAAAATAATTTAATAGTACTCCAATTATCCTATACTGAGTTTTCTATTTTTGAAATTGAAGTTCATTCTTTTTTTCAAATTGTTCCATTTATTAGAAATTTAAGGCTTACATTTTGATGAATAAATATCATGAAAATATTTATGAGGTGAGGACTTATTATATAATAAGAAGGAATGCAAAGCCTTAGAATCTAAACTAAACTTAGTGCTAATGATAAAAATAAGAAACTCGAACCTAATCTAAAATAATACAATGGAACTTAAATGTTAGTTCCATGGAGGATAGAAACCAAGCTCAAATTTTTTGGACTTATGATTCTACCTAAAAAGGGTAGCATGCTTGAACCACATAATATGATAAAATGCAAGACATGTTAGGTTATTATTTAGATTTGGGAGATTAGTGGGATTTACAATATGGCTCTATAGATCAACAACCCGACTACAATTAATGTGTAATACAATTAGCTAATGCACCAATTTCTAATTTTATACTTTATTAATTATTTCAAATTTTTAGAGGTGTGTAACTAATATATGTATAATTAGTTAATAGGTATAAGCCAATCAATGTCACATCGGTCTTTCTCATGAAGAGCAGTTATTTCTAATAGCTAGATACTCCCTTATGTGCAATGGGTGAAGTGTTGAAACTTTAAAAATGATGATGTATATGCGGATGTTTCAATTGTCCCTAAGAGTTTCTAATAAAGTTTATTGATTAACCTCTAAGGTATTTGAATTTAATTTATTGAATTATTAATTTTAGATTTAAGTTATTAATTTTAGTAAAAAAATTAATTTTGCTTGCCTAATGAATAAATTAGGCTTCAATTACAAGCTCACACAATCATATAAAATATAAAATAAAAAATGGATATTTTTAAATTCACCAAAAAGTAAACACAAAAGACAATAAAACAAATAATCAAATTTATAGTAAAACATGTTGATTTGGTTTTGTATTGCTATACACATCAAGAGAATGATAAATATAGGCAATTGGGTCATGCCCTTATATAACCTAGCCTAAAACTAAAAAGCTTGACCTATGTTAATCTCCTCATTCTTCATTCCTCGATTCAATTCCATTACCCTGGTATGAGTCCTCCAAGCATAAAAAAATATGAACATAGCATGCATCTCATTTATACTCATTATAATCTCCTAAGTCCTAAAACTAGATCAAATTCAAATTATATTTTAAATTCAAAAAAATAAAACCTTAATTAAACCTAAAATATATGCTTTACTATTTACACAGACAATCAAAGCAGGTAATACATATGAACTAAGCACTAGATGGTGTTAAGCCCCTTTGTTGTACAAAATCATACTTGATGAAATAGACATGAGTAATAAATACTCGCAAGAAAATTTGTTAGCTTTAATTTATGTATGTATGTGCCTTATTTTTTATGCACAATCTTATGCATAAAGTATTATTAGGACTAATAAGTATTAGTTTGGCATCCACTCTAATGCATAATTAACAACCATCCAGTCTATGCACAAACATCACATTAATCATGCTATATAATATACAACCATCACATAGAGATGAAATAACCTAAATCTTGGCTAGTAACCTAACAAACAGATCTAGTGTGTAAAGCTAGTGTGGTGTGTCTAAACTAGGTCCTTCAGGTTTAAATTATATTTCGAGTTTAGGATTTAAAGTTTAATATTAGATTATTTAAATTTAAGCTGATAATATTTTTTATTTTCACTTTAGCTTTTTCAGATTTTTTTATTATTTAATTTTAACTTTAAGTTTATAGAGTATTAGGACAACGGGGCCCACAATAACCTGTTACGCCATTCCTAGCTCCATGATCATAATATAAGACGAACACATCACTTACAAAACAAGTAGTCATCCTAAATTTCTAATTAAAGTGATTTATGGATCTTTTAATTTAATTAATTTTAATTTTTCTTACTTCATGGTATACTGAATTATAGAATTTAATCATATTTTGATGTTGTTTGAGGTTTAAATGACTTCAAAATCTTATAACACCATTTCACAAAATAAGAAATATCATCATAAATATTTTATAGTTTTGATTTTTTTTGAAATATCTCTAATTAATTATTATTAATTATATAATTTTGAAGAGAAAATTCAAATTAATACAAAAAAATACCTTAAAGATTGTGAGGTTATTCTCTAGTCTAAATTCTTTAAAACCCATCACTTTAAATTTTGTTTTAATTTTGAATTATTTTATATTTCATAAATTTATTTAATATTCTAGTCTAAATTATGAAATATTTAAATTCAAATAATTTTAAAAATAATTTTGAAACCATACAAGAAGGCTTGGAAGGGTTTCCTAAAATCTTTATAAGAATTTAAGTGGTCTAGAGATCAATTTTGCTCTTTTATGAACTATTTAATATATTCATATCATAAAATCTAAAAATTATTACATTATTTAAAATACAATGATGTTTTCAAATATGATTTAAGGCTCATTTCAATTTGCCATGTTTGTAGCTTGTTTAATGTATTATGAACTTGATAAATTTAAGTGTTTAATTATTAAATTAGTAGATTATGATAATTCAATTAATTTTTAAAATATGATTTAAATGATTTAATTATATCCGAACTAGATGAATTTGTTTTCAAAGTTATGGAATTCCCCAATAATATTTTATAAAATTTTGAAAATTTAAATATTTATTTATTATTTGATTAAATTTTATTTTAAATTCTATTATAATTTAATTTCAAGGTTTAATATGGATCATTCAAGTCAAATTGGGTCAAGTGACCAAACTAAACAAATTAAGCTTCAATGCTTCAATTAGTTTTTTTAGATTAAGTTAGTTATTTAAAATTCTTGGAAATATTAAATTGGATTTATTTGAATTTACTTTGAATTTTGACTCAACACAACCTAATTAGGTCAAAATTGGATAAAATAGCCCAATAGATTTATTTAGACCTCAATTAGCCTACAATTTTGTTTGATTAATGATTTAGAAGTTTTAGGTCTAAGCGATTTGATTTAATTTAGGTTGTATTAGTCTCTTATCTATTATCATTCTATTAGATCAAATGAGTTAAGTAGGCAGTATAACAATTTAAAGAAACTTCCTCACATTTTTGTGTTTAATAATGTTAGTTTTTGTTTAGAAATTGATTGTATTATATTTAGTTTTAATTGATTCAATTTTCTGTTGATTTAGTTCAATTTGACCAGCCAGAGCTGAATGTGTCTAGTGGGCACAATAGCTAAAATTAAGTTCAATTAGTTTAAACTTTAGATTAATTGAGTTCTACTTAGTTTAAAGGGTCATTTAGTTTGATATTGTTTTATTTAATTTTGAATTAGAGTACTTTAATTAATTAGCTCACTTTCAAGTTTAAGTGGGTCAATGGGCTTACTAGCTCAATTCAACATTATATTTGAGATATTCAATTGGTTGATTTGATTTTAAATTATAATTGGTTTTATTTAATTTAGTTTAGATTTAATTTTATTGTTATAAGGTGAGTTTGACCTAACATGCTCTTAATAGGTCATGTTTGGGTTAACTACACAAAGTGACCTAATTTGAGTTTGATTGGCCCAACTTTTGGGCTTGATAACTATTCAAGTCCTTTGAGATTTTTAAATAAAATAAATTTGTTCAAATTATTTGGTTTGGTATAAGGTCAAAAAAGAGTCAAAGGAATTGTCTACTAAGTCAAAGCATGTCAATCATAGGCTTTGGAAACTTTTTAACCTCAGTGTGATTTAAATGGTCTATAAATTTGTTAAGTTCATTTAAAACTAAATACTTTAGTGGCAGAGTTCAATTGGTCAGGTAGGTTTCATAGGACTTCTCTGTCGTATTTGGTGAGCATCAATGAGATTTTGCCCATTTTCCTCATGTCTCAAGGACATGATTGCAACAGAAAGACACATTGAAGTGTTTGATTTCTTGTTTGTGTGGAACATTAACCAGTGAAGGATCAAAATGGAGGGAAGAAAATTGAAAATAAGCTAGAAAACGCCTTTTCCTCGCCATAAAGAGTAGTGAGATGTCAATGATGGAGATGCAGCTAGCTTTGAAAATGGAAAACTTTTGCCCGATGCTCCTCATAATTTAGGTGTTTGTTGCATGTGCACATAGTTCTCCTTTCTTGCTGCAAAACTGTGGTCACATGATGCATATATTTTTGGAGATTGCTACAAAACCCCTTATTTTTTGGTGTAAATTTTGTTCAGGCATGAGATGCAAAAAAATTAGAAGTTCAAAAAGCTATGCTATGTAAATTTTCTTAAAGTTTTCTTTTTTTTTTAATACCGTATTTATATTAATTTTGCCCATGCTGTCAAAATTATTTCTTGATTAAAAAAAGGCAAGCTTAAGTTTCATTAAAAAATTCACTCAGAGAGAGAGAAGAGAGAGAGAGAGAGAGATATAGTGAAGTAGCTCGGGACGGCTCTTCTAGCAGAGAAAGCTAACCCGGCAAACAACAAACCAGTCTACAGGAAAATGCTTAGTTTTGGCGGACAAGAGTAGGGGATGGAAGGGGAAGAAGTCAGAGTAAAGGAGAATGATGACAGGAAAGCTGGGAAAACAATTGTGTTGGGACGGATCTTCTAGCAGAGAGGGAGAGAGGGAGAGAGGGAGAGAGAGAAACAGTGAAGTACCCGAGCAGGGACGGATCTTCTAGCAGAGAAAGCCAGCACGGCAAAGAACAAACCAGTCTACAGGAAAATGCTTAGTTTTCGCGCACAAGTGTAGGGGGGATGGAAGGGGAAGAAATCAGAGTAAAGGAGAATGATGAGAGGAAAGCTGGGAAAACAATTGTGTTGGGCATCAGAACAGACTCCAAAAGTAGAGAGCTACTCACCTGGACTCTCGTCAACCTCGCCATCTCTGGTGATCGTGTCATCGCCATTCACGTTCGCCGCTTGTCCTACCCTTCCGGTACTGTTAATTTCCACCCTAAACTACTAATTCTCACTGGCTTTCTTCGCTAAAAAACTCTTCGTTACTCTTTCTTCTTTGGCAGTGCGTGCGGACCAATACTTTGACCAGTTGGAGCCGATGCGCAAAGCATACGAAGGTTTCTGCCGCCTAAAACAGGTGTCTTTTTCTTCAAGTTGGCAACTTTATGCTCTGAATCGTTTCTATCCCTTGAATTTCCTAGCACTCATTTTCTTTTTCATTGTGAATAGATAGATTTGGTTATAAAGTTTTGTAGAGGCTTCTCCGTCCGCAGGACTTTGGTTCACCAGGCCAAATCTTGCTCCGCCTCATATTTAATCCTTGGGGAATCCAAGAGCAGCAATGCAATTAGGTGATTCTCCTCAGTTTCTTTCTCAGTTATCTGCTTTTCCTTTCTTCTTCTTTTTCAGTTCGCCGAACTCTTCTAAATCTTTTTACTTTTAAATGTAGATTTTCGTTGACTTCGATCCCTAAATACTGTGCTCAGAGACTGGCCCCTGGTTGTTCCGTTGTTGCGGTGAACAGTGGAAATATTGTTTTTGGAAGTGGGGCTGTAGGTTGGTTAGATTGGTTTGATTTGTCTTCTCAGTTTTAAAGTACTGCGTTTTCTTTCTAAATTTTACAAACATTAATAAAATTCAGAGACGAGGAGGTTAGCTGGGCACGATGGCAAAGCATCTAAATTTCTCCTACTGCACATGAAGAAAGGAGAACCATTAGAATATTTGTTGGAGATGAAAAGCCGGGAAGGTAGCATTTTTATCATAATAGGTCATTCCCTCATAGCAATGCTGCTGTTTCCAATGCTGGTTTGAGCTTTATCACTATCATTTATTTAATATGGTAAAATCATTTCAGATTACTTGCTAGAGGAGAAATGCTCAGTCTGTGGCACTGTTTCTGGGACACAATATTCTAATGTTGATGGAGGCCTGCTGGAATCTAAATCAGATGCTCCAATGAACTCAAATTTTTCTATCACTTTTGGCACCCAAGGGCTTACTGATGAGGTGGGATCAAGCTGGTCTATCTCTAGAAAGACAACCTTAACCCATAGGAGGACCTTATCCATGGAGGGGTCTAGAACTCCTTTGTTTCAGTTGTCAAAGTGGATTTCTGGTCGGTCATCAACATATTCACCAAACCATTCAGTTGGTAAGCATAGAAGATCTGATACATTCACAGCTGGTAGCCTTTACAAGGAAGATAGTTTATCCCCATTCCATCTTGAAGAGAGCAATGGCCGAATCAATATGGAATATTTGCAAGAGAAGTGTTCATTGTGGTGCAAATTGTTTAGTTATACGGAGCTTATGCAAACAACTTGCAACTTCTCAGTTGGTAAATCACCATACCATTTATAACTAACACCCTAAAAGTTGCAACTAAATATTTTCAGATATGTGGAATAATTTTTAAATTTTCAACAATATTGCTCATTGTAGATAGATTGATTGGAAAAGGTGGAAGTAGCCTGGTTTATAAAGGCATACTTCCAAATGGAAAAGAATTAGCTATAAAGGTGTTGAAGCCATCCAAAGATTCATTGCAACAATTTATTTCAGAAATTGATGTGATCACCACCTTGAACCATAATAACATCATTTCTTTGCTCGGTTTTTGCTTGGGGGACAACAAATTGGTACTAATCTACAATTTTATGTCAAGGGGCTCCTTGGAAGAGGCCCTTCATGGTATGAAATTAACAGATTTTTGAACTCACTAAAATTTTGATAAATTTTATCTGGATTATTTATTTATCTATTTTTGTAGGCTCCAAAGAGCGCAATTGTGCGCTCCATTGGGGTGATAGATATAAAATTTCTATTGCTGTTGCCAAGGCACTCGATTATCTGCACGGTCGTGGTGGTGCTGAATCTGTGATTCATATGGATGTTAAATCATCAAACATCCTATTATCTGAGGATTTTGTACCAATGGTAAACAATTATCATAATTGTGCTGCCAATTTTTATACTCTTGTTATACTGCTGATGCACTTCTTGCTTAATGCCTTAGCTCTCGGATTTTGGACTTGCTCGACGCCCAACAGGCTCAGTTTCTCACATATCATGCAGCTATCTTGCCGGGACATTTGGGTCAGTATTTATTTTACTTTTATGATGAGGTTGTGTAAATAAAATTTTTATTTTTATTTTATCAAACAGTTCTTTGCTGCAGGTACTTGGCTCCTGAGTATTTTATGTTTGGACAGATCAGTACAAAAACGGATGTTTATGCATTTGGTGTTGTGCTTCTTGAACTTATTTCAGGAAGGAAACCTATCTGCTCTGATGGCCTTAAGGGTGATCAAAGCTTAGTAATGTGGGTAAGTATTTCATCTTGTTTTTCTAATCCAAAATCATTTTACTGAGTTACATGTGACTTCCCCAACAACTGTATATTAGCTTTTGAAACTCAAGTGCAGGGCTGCTTTTGTGTATTACCTCGCATTTATATGGTAGGAAACATTTCTTGTCCCTGAAAATGGAAGTCTGACAACCTTTCAGCAGTGTCTATTCGGTCATCGCCAAACAATTTTGAAGAAATTAACACACATTTTACAACATAGTTGGCTGATAGTGTTTAATTTTCTGTTTAGTTATACCAATACTTGTGCCATGTAATCAATGCAATGCACAGCAAAAGAAGCAATAATAATACCACAGGTTTATGTGAAAATTCTTAGATGGGAATAATTATGATCAGAGCAGAAGCTATCACTGTGTAAAAAAAAAGAAGAGAGGGTTACAAGTGGAGACTGGTGGCTCACATAACATAATACCCACAATATCCTGAAATAAATATATATTTATGTGCGGAAAAAAATAAATAATAATAATAAAAGTTCTTATCCTATTGGCTCAATCTCTCCGCTACTACCATAAATCTCCCAAAAACTTTCTCATGTTTATGATTTCAATATGTTATGATGTGGAATCTGATTGTGTTGTCAATTGCTCAATCAAAACCCTTAATTTTGCCGATCAAGCTTGACGATGAGTTTGTGGGGGGAGGGGCGGCGTGCACTGTCCCTGAAAATTATTTTCCTATATGGTGCCTTCGTGCCGTACCTGCAACACCCCAATATCGAGCTAGTATGGCTAAGCTCTCAGAAGACGGCACCGTCGTGCCCAATCTAGTTTCAGAACTGAGAGCCCGACATTGCAGCGATGCTAGGCCACTATCGCAGAGCCCCAATGCCACTATCGCAGAGCCCAGACACCACTATCATGGCACCCTTGTGCAAGTAATCATTTTTGGGCAGTTTTTTACTTAAAGTTTCTGTTTTGCTAATAGTAGTCTGAAGGATTTCAATTTTTTCTTGTGAAAATGAGATGATAGGAGGGGCTTGAAGTTTCAAAAAATGTAGAGAAGCTTGAGTGTGGTGTAATTTGTGCGATTCTCCTCACTTTTTTTCATAGTGGATTTTTAGGTGTGGTTTGACTTCGTGATTTTTTCTTGTTCTTAAATTTTTTCACATTAAATCATGTGTCTTATGTGATTTTTTTTTTTTTTGTGCTTTTGTTCAAAGCTTTGTGTCAGATCTCTCGAATTATTTTTCGCAATTTAAATCTTCCAACACATATTGCACTGCAAACTTTTTTTATCCAAGGACAACAGAATTTGTTCTCAAATTCTAATCAAATGACAAACCATATGAAAAAGCTAGTTGGCATTACTAATAATTTTGTGGTTAAGTTTGTTATTAGTTCCAAGTTTAAATATTATAAGGCAACACAAAAGGTGTGTGATTCTAATTTTTCCTTCAATCCACAACAATTCTCTTAAGTTTTCTCCTCTTCCTCATTTCAATAAACCAACAATTTGGTATCAAAGCTCTCTTCTTAAGAGATTTGTGTGCGAGTTTGAGTAGTTATGGAGATCAAATCTAGTTTTTCCTTAGTTGCTCCACCAGTGTTTGACGGAGACAACTACCGAATCTGGGCAGTCCGCATGGACTGGGCCTGGGCAGTCCGCATGGAGACGTACTTGGAAGCTTTGGATCTCTGGGAAGCAGTGGAAGAAGCCTATGACATTCCTCTTCTACCTGAAAATCCCACCGTATCAAAAATTAAAGCACAAAAAAAGAAGAAGATAAAAAAGTCCAAGGCAAAAACCTGCCTGTTTGCTGCAGTTTCCTCCACGATCTTCACTCGTATCATATCGTTGAAAACGCCAAAGGGGATCTGAGATTATCTTAAAACCGAGTATGAAGGAGATAAAAGAATTCGAGGGATGCAGGTGCTAAACTTGGTTCGTGACTTTCAACTGCAGAAGATGAAGGAGACTGAAACCATAAAGGATTACTCTGACATACTACTCAACATAGCAAATCGTGTCAAATTATTGGGTTATTCTTTGGAAGATTCAAGGATTTTTCAGAAAATTCTTGTAACAGTGCCTTAAAGATTTGAGTCTACCATCACCACGTTAGAAAACACGAAAGATCTGATTGCTTTGACAGAACTCTTAAGTGCTTTACAAGCACAAGAGCAGAGGCGTGTAATGAGGGAAGGAGCCGTCGAAAGAGCTCTACCAGTCAAGCATCAAGATGATGAAAAGAATATGTGGCCCAAGAATAAGAAGTTTCAAGCTACAAGTGGACAAAGCTCTGTACTTGAGAACAGAATCAAAACTAAAAATAAAAGATTAGGAGTAAAAAAAGATTGCCCTCCATGTCAACATTGTGGCAAGAAAGGTCATCCTCCTTTCAAATGCTGGAGAAGACCAGATGCAAAGTGCAGCATGTGCAATCAAATGGGACATGAAGTTGTCATTTGCAAGAATAAAGATCAGCAGCAAGGAGATGAAGCACAAGTGACAGATCAAAAAGAAGATGAACAATTTTTTGTTGCAATTTGCTCCACGAGTTCTGAAACTAGTGAAAATTGGTTCATTGATAGTGACTGCACTAATCATATAACACATGACAATGAGTTGTTCAAGGAATTGAAGAGCACCGAGTCTAAGAAGGTCAGAATTGGGAATGGTGAATAAATTACAGTCAAAGGAAAGGGCACTGTAGCCATTGCAAGCTGTTCAGGAACCAAGTTGATCACCGATGTTCTCTATGTACCAGATATTGATCAATACTTTCTCAATATTGGTCAATTAATAGAAAAGGGATTCAAAGTGATGTTCATGGAAAAGACTTGTGTGATAGAGGATGCTACAGGCCAAAAAATGTTTGAAGTTAAGATGGTAGGGAGGAGTTTTTCACTCAATCCAATGCATGAGGAACAAGTTGAAAGCACTATGAAGATTCAATCAACAATTGAGATGGTTGAGCATGTTGCAGGGCTGAGGGAATTAGAACTGGAGTCAACATTACAGAAAACAACTGCAGAGCTTTTAGAGTTGAAAGCTCGCCTTTTGAGTATGGAAATAAAACTCCCAGCCATGTCGTGAATGAATGACGAATTGAAAGATGAAATGAATAAGGCAATGGCGAGCCAATTTAATTCGGAGATGAGGCAGATAAAGACTACTACAGAAGTCACAGATCTGAAAGCAAACCTCTTGGATAAGGAGACACAACTACAAAGCATTATGGATGAGAATGAACAGTTAAAATCGGAGCTCAAGAGAGACAGGGAGCATCAGGAGAATTATGCTGCAGCTATATTGGATGCTGAGAGAGCAAAAACTGCAGAACAAGAAGTACTGATGAGACTAGGTGCTGTCAATAGGGAGGCTAGAAAGAATAACAAGAAGGCAACAAAGGTTTTGGAGCAGCTTGAGGCTGCTCAGGCAGTGAAATCAAAGATGGAGGTTGAGCTGAGGAGGCTTAGGGTGCAGTCAGATAAATTGAGAAAGGCAGCTGAAGCAGCTGCAACAGTTCTTACACCAGGAAACAATGACAGAGTAGTTGAGAGGACGTGCTCTCTTAAATCAGATTACAATTCACTGCTCCCTGGGAAGCTGCTAAACTCCCCTTTCTCTGACGACTTGGATGATGATTCTCCCAAGAGGAAGAATGACAATATGCTAAGAAAAATTTTATTGGATCTCAATCTGGAGCAGAAAGAAAGCACTGAGATTTTTGTTGACAACCAAGCTGTCATTTTCATTTCCCATAATCCTGTGTTTCATGGGAAAACTAAGCATTTCAACATCAAGTTATCTTTTCTAAGAGAAGTGCAGAAAGAAGAATTTGTGACTCTGGTTTACTGCAAATCTGAAGATCAGTTGGTAGATTTGTTGACGAAGTCACTTTTAATAAGCAAGTTTGAGTTTTTGAGACAGAAATTTGGTGTTCGCAGCTCCTAAAGCAAGGATGAGTGTTGGAATACATGCTTAGGATTGTTTATTGAGTCTAGGTTTAATTGAGTCAAGTTTGTTCCTTAATCTTAGGAGTTGGTTGCTATTTTTCTTGATTTTGTTTCATGTTATTTTCTTGACTGATTTTTAGGTCTTTTTCTTGGAAGTTTGTTATTAGCTTCAAGTTTAAATATTGTAAGGCTACACAAAAGGTGTGTGGTTCTAATTTTCCGGTTTTAATTTTCTCTTCAATCCACACAATTATCTTAAGTTTTCTCCTCTTTCTCATTTCAAGAAACCAATAGATTTCAATTTTCTCTTGCGAAAATGAGATGCTAGGAGAGGCTTGAAGTTTCAAAAAATGTAGAGAAGCTTGAGTGTGGCGTAATTTGTGCGATTTTCCTCACTTTTCGTATTGGATTTTTAGGTGTGGTATGACTCCGTGATTTTATCTTGTTCTCGAATTTTTTCACATTAAATCATGTGTCTTATGTGATTTTTTTTAGTGTGCTTTTGTTCAAAGCTTTGTGTCATATCTCTCGAATTTTTTCCGCAATTTAAATCTCCCAACACAAAACATATATTGCACTGTAAACTTTTTTATCCAAGGACAACAGAATTTGTTCTCAAATTCTAACCAAATGACAAACCATATGAAAAAGCTAGTTGGCATTACTAATAATTTTGTGGTGTCTTTCCAAAATCCAATTACTTCTCCAGTCTAAATTGAATTTGATGACAGGCTATGCCAATCCTTAGAAGTGGGAACTTTCAAGGATTGGTGGATCCAAGATTGGAAGGTGAATACAATATTGAACAAATGGAGTGGATGGTTCTTGCTGCCTCTCTTTGCCTCAATAGGGATTCCCAATCTCGACCCACAATGCCATGTGTATAATCCCTTATTCCCATTTTTTTTATTTGAGCTTTGTTTGAGATATTGTGTGGCTCAGAAAAAAGCAAGAACAATAGGCTACAAAAATTGAATCCATCTAATAATTATTTAACTTGACCAGCATATATTTCTCCTTGTGATAGGTATTGAAGCTTCTGCATGGAGACAAAGCTTTGGTGCAGGCAAAATCACAGTTTGATTCCTCTGAAAACTCTTACAACTTACAAGATGATGATCCATATTTGATTCCTGATATTAAGTCTCATGAAAGCGTACTTATGCTGAATTCAGAGGTTGATTCTCCTTCTGCAAGCAGTAATGAGCTTTTACCGGCTTTTACAACTGATGGAACTTCTGTGGAGGATTACTTGCTTGGGAGATAGATATGGTCATCCAGCCTATATTGACTAATTCCATATAGATTTGGTTCCTCTACTTTTTGTAGTTTTTTATACTTGTTATAGGCTCCAGGTATTTTATTTCATGTCATTTACTCTTTATTTTTAAATTTTTTAAACAGTACTCAAATGAGAAACGGGATACATCTCTTCTGCTTTTTTTTTTTTTTTTTTTTTTTTTTTAAATTTTCTTTTCGTTGGAGAGGTGAATTAAGAGAATTTTAGTGACTGTTGTCTTCAATTGCTCTTTAAGGCAGTTATTTAATTGGTTGAAGATGTATATAACCCTTGTGGCTTTATTCAGCAAGCCTTTAACTCAGCAAATTTCTTACTGCAATTATTGGAATAGGTTCTTATGCTAAAGGAAATTCTGTATGATGTGTTACATTAAGAGCTATTTGAGTGGCAGCAAATGGCATACAAGTATTATAAAATAATAATAATAATGTACAGAAATGATTTCCATTTACAAGGATTGCTGCAGATCAGTAAATCTTTATTTGCCTTCTAATGTAATGTTGCAGAACATCTCTAGTTATGAAACGATATTGCACTTAATTTGCACCTGTCCTCGAATTCTAAGGGACACCGATCGTGATCGATATAGAATTATCAGACTCAGAGACAGCGTAAGAAGAGCCAACCGTCATTCCAGCAGACAAAACTCCGGGTCCAATTCAAGAGACAGAAGAAATAACTGAAGTGAACCTCAGGAGTGAGAAATTCTTGCCTCCGAGAATGGGCGAATTTTTCCCTCAGAACATTGGACGGTTCTCTACGTCCGCAGTCCATTTAAATTTGGCCACGTGGAAATGCGGGTCCCTCATTTCCACGTAATAAAAAAAAACAATGTCGTGCTGAAGACCAATCGTGCTCGATGTCCCCGTGCCTTTTCGAGTATCCCGCCTTTTAGAGTGTCGAGAAATACGTTTCGAAAATATATTTTAGGAATTTTTCTGCTAGGGTTAGGGTTTTCTTCGTTCGCTCTGCCTCTGCTAGGGTTTCACATTTCCTTCGTTTGATAGCTTCGAAGTCGTAACACGATGGAGTTAGATGATCCGAAAAGTACGCAGGTCGAAGAGCCGACAAGAACACAATCAGAAGAGACGGAGCGGACAGACGTTGAACAACCGACGAAGTCAAAGAATAGAGAAAGAAGAAGGCGAAGAGGATGAAGGAGGGCATTGAAGGGGAAAACTTGTCTTGGTAAGTGTCATTTTTTTTTCCTGTTATTTTTTTCGGATTATAAGTTATGCTTTGTTGTTTAGTTATCTTAGAAGATATACAGTTTAGTGTTGAAGGTTTTGGAAGGTATTTTTAGCTTATTTCTGGGTTATTCATGGTTTTTTAGGGAATTTATTCATGGGTTATTGTTAGATTATTATTGGATTATTCTTGTGTTACTCCAAAGTTTAGTATTTATTGGCAACCATTTGTTTATTCGCGTGTTATTTTTAGGTTATTCGTGGGTTATTTATAGGTTATTTGTCGGGTTATTGTTGGTTTATTGTTCGGTTATTTTTAGGTTATTCGTGGATTATTTTTAGGTTATTTGTCGGTTTTTCCGCAGTTTATTCCCCGATTATTTTTTGGTTATTTTTAGGTTATTCGTGGGTTATTTTTAGGTTATTCATCGGTTTTTCCGCAGTTTATTGCCCGTTTATTTTTAGTTTATTCGTGGATTATTTTTAGGTTATTCGTTGATTTTTCGCAATTTATTCGCCGATTATTTTTAGGTTTTTTAGGTTATTCGTGGGTTATTTTTAGATTATTCGTAGAATATTTTTAGGTTATTTTTAGGTTATTCGTGGGTTATTTTTAGGTTACTCGTCGGTTCTCAGTAGTTTATTCGTCGGTTATTCGTATGTTATTTTTAGGTTATTTTTTGGTTATTCAAGGATTAGTTAAAAGTGTAATCTCATGTTACTCTTACGTTATTAATCAGTTAATATTGAGTTATTATTGATTTAGGGAATATCCATGCAGTTGATGCAGTTGTTGGTTATTATTTATTATTCTGTTATTCTTGACTGATTGATGAGTTATTGTCAGTATTAATAAAATGTATTTTATGTTATGTAGGTTGATAAACAAACAGTCTATGAATTATAGACGTCGTCCATCAACAGTTAGAGAAGTGTTGGACAAGGTTCGACCGATTGTCTCTCAGGAGACATAGTCAATTATGGGAAAATTGAAGCTGAATCAGTTTTTTGAACTCTCCCCTATCCTCAAGATCACATCCTAACTATGCACATATTGAATTGTTGGGAGGGATATGGATAGATTGGCATTCAGAATGGAGGGGAAGGAGCTCAGTTTTGATGCAAACCAAGTTGCTTTGTTAATTGACATGCCCAACAGAGGACCTACAACAACTTGGGACAAAAAACCCGTTAGTGGTGTGGATGCCAGGCAGACAAAGAGTGAACTACTGAAGGGGTCACTCGGAGAGTCATCCACTTCACTTAATGAACTTATTATTAAATTTTTTGTTGTCTAATTTATTCTTTCATACCAGCAATTTTAGTGTACCCACAGGGCTCTATTCATTTGCTGAGAATTTAGATACTTTTTCTTCATTTAATTGGGTTATAAAGGTATGTGACCACCTCATTGAGCAAGTCAATGCCCGCGTCATCAAAATAATGACGGGTCAGCCATTGGGATACATGCACGAATTTGTTTTTCTTCTAACCGTTAGTCAATTATCCAACCCCAGTCAAGAATTATTTTTTTTTCTTATTTGGGTAATATGAATCCCTGATTTATTTTTGTTTCCGCAGCTGTGATTTTTGAGTGCACAGTCGTGATAGCCCCGACTGTTCCTGACGCCAGACATCGCATGTCGAGGTGGCCAATAAATACAGGCTGGAACCTTGCAAGGATCCATTTAGTCTTTCAGAGGATGACTACTGTACATGTGAATAATATTAATTTCTGTTATAAGTTTAGGGTTATGTTTGGTAATTTATATCATTTAGTTATTTGTTTTACTGAATTTACTTGCAGGTTCTAGATTCATTTGTTGATTTAAGAGATGGCGAGCACAGTTTACTTGCCCCTCGAGTTGACTGGATCTCTTCTCCTGCAAAGTCCATTCCAGAACTCGAAACTCACTCTGAACTACTGACACCAGATTCTGACATTGCTATCCCTTTTGTCCCTAGTCGCAGCATCCTGCAACCTACGCATTCAGAGAGATATTCAGGGGCCAATATGGGTTTAGTAGAGATCTGTCGAATTCTCAGGGAGGAACAAAAATTTTTATTTCAATTCAAAGATTTTGTAAATAACATATAAGATAAAATAGAGTATACGATAGTGGAGGTGAAGAACGACATCAAGAAATAAAAAAAAAAGATTAAATAAAGTTTACATGAAATCTCCTGTTGGTTCTGAAATTGATGGGAAGAAAGAAAGCCCAGCAATGGAAGAACAACCACCTGCTTATATGGAGGAAGCAGGGGAAGAACAACTGATAGGGAGAATGGCTGCATTTGATGAAGCTGCAGCTGATATTGAAATAGGGGAAGAAATAAATAAAAGTGACGGGGAACATGGAAAGGAAGGCATCCATGAAGACCATCTTGGTAACTTAATCTGAATGATTAAGTCTAGAGGCACCAGAAAAAAGAGGGCAGTAGTTTTCCCATTCATTGTAGTAAAGAGAAAGAAAACAAAAGCATTACCAATAATGACAGAAGAAGAATTGCTGATTACCCAACCACTCCTGAGATCGATGAAGCTGGGGAACAGGATGCGAAGATCAATACAACAGAAGTGGCTGAAGAAAAGCAGGAGGAACAACAGGGACCAATTGTTGTATTCAAAGGTGCCCTCCCTTGTGTAGTTCATGCAACACATTCAGTTGTGGACACTTCAACCATAGAGTTCCCTGGCATAGAACTCATACCCTCACACATACAAAAAGGTCATAGATACCTGCTTGAAGAAATACCAAGCTAGGTAAGTAAACTCATAATCCTTTGTTTGTCTACTGCCTCAGTCCTGTATTAAATCTAATAAAAATTATTTCATCAAAATGCAGAGATGACATAATAATTGCTATGACCCATATTCATATAAGTCGAATGTGCATTGAATTTCTTTGGAATAATCAAGAAGTGAGCACATAACATATTGATATGTTTGTCATTGGATTGGAAAATAGAGGTCGTCAGTCACCCAATTCTTTTAGACCCTTTTTATACGTCTCTCCAACACACTGGGTAAGCATCAACAATCCCATCAATTGTAGCAATTCATGCTCTTGTTAAACTTATAAACTCATTTAAATTTATTGGAACTATGCAGATGTACAAAAACCATCCATTGCGAGATATTGTTGCCCACGTAACAATGGATGTTGTAGCTTGAGCAGATGTCATTTTAGTTCCAATAATTAATAATAGTCATTATACTCTACTTGTTGGGAATGAGAAGGAACACAAATGGAGATTCTTTGACTCATTGCCTAATAAAATGCATTTGGGAGTTACCTGCGACGTGGTAAGCAAACTAAGCCTTAGTTCATTTATTATGTAAGCAACTTTTTTCTTTGTTTATGCTTTCAATGATTTAAACGATCATCTCTATTACCAGATTAACATCTTCATAAGGATCTCGGGGAAGCTTTCATCAATGATCCGACTAAATGGGTTGTTACCATGACCAGAGAACTTCCGACACAAAACAATAGTGTTGACTGCAGTATTTTTGTTTGTAAATATATGAAAACAATTGTACAAAAAGACATAATTAATTGGAAAGATAAACAGAACTGGCAGGCTAATATGCCTAGGTTTAGGGCAGAGCTTGCATATGAAATTTGTAGATATAAATTATTTGGATGTTATTTGTATGGCTATACTTTTTTGCAAATATGTTTGAAATGCTGATAGTAACATGTTGATAAATATGATTGATTTGATTTTGTAAATTATATGAATTATTCAAGATGATAAATATTATTCAGATGATAAATATGATTGAATTCTTTGGTTAATGTCTGTATGATTGTCTGTTTTGTTGCACTAAACTATTATTGCATATGACTTTGTATTTGCGAACTTATGCACAAAGCCGAAAATACACTGGCACTAATCTGAAAATACCATAGAAATAACCTGAAAATACCCTAGCAATAA